ATACACTTCATTTCAACTTAATTCCTGCTGCTGTCAAGAAAAAACTACTTTACTTATGATCTCTATTTAGTGTGGAAGTGACATTCAGATCCAAAGTTCCAGCAACTATGGCTTAGGTGAATCCTACCGACCTACACCTGGGTTAGCAATTCTAGATCCATTTAACACTCTTCACCTATTCATCTAGTAAGGATTTCTTGCACTGGCTTGCACACAATTGTGATGTGCTAGTATGCAAATCGATATGGCTGTGAAGTTACCTGTGAAGTGTTTGAGAAACACACGAAGTCATCTGCTTTAAAGAATCTGTTTTTCTGCATTTCAACAGAAATCTTAACACACGTTAATGTGAACACATATCCATTATGAAACAGATATGCATACAGAAAATAATTCAGGAGGAATTTTGTAGCATTAAAACATAAAACATTAAAAAATTTTTCAACTAGCCTATTTACAAGTTACAATGCTCTCTGATCATACTGTTTTTTGCAAAGCACCAAGTAGTCCCTTGTCTGAGGGCTTTAGTATGATTTCATTAGATAAGAAAATTTAGAATCAGCACTAGTGACTTAGCTTTAAAAGAAAAATGACAAAGTACAGAATAAGATTAGTAAGCCAGTGATACAACTAATATCACTGTTAGTATGCAAGTGCTGAAATGTGCACTTTAAACTCCTGGAGAGAGAAAACACATTCATCTGTAACTGTACAATACATCTTAAGAACCTCTTCATTTGTGAGAGTGCTTAGACTGCTAGAATTGCCTCCTCTAATCTTTGGTAGCAGCCCATCTAAAAAAATATTAAGAGTAGGATATTCAATGAGACAACCCTTTTTCATCAAGTTCTTGCAATATAGGAATAAAAGAATAACAGCAAATACAATTTTACAGCTTACCAACTTCAACAAAAACCCTATTAAGAGACTCTCATCACTGACAAGAATCACTTTTCAGATCTTACATGTGAGTTATTACTCAAAGAGATGTCATTAATTTTCTTTTTAGTAGTTCTACTTGGCTTTTCTTGACTATGAAGTATCAAGTACATACACTAATTGAATTATGTTTATCATGCACCCAAAGAACTTGTACCAAATAAGTGGAGTTAACAACATAACTGCGACAGCCCTTCAAGCAAAAATGTAAGACTACTTACAATTAAGGAAAGATGCTTTTGCCATTCTTATTCAAATAAGCAGCTTCAAATTAAAAAAAGAACATCCTGCCTTTATGCCTTTCATAACAATCTCTCATCTACACCAGTAATGGCTTCATAGGGCATGCTTATTTATGGAAAGGAAGTTGAAAGAAAAATCTGACTACTGCAAAAATTCAAAAGAATCAGCAGTAGATGTCACAACAGGGAAAGAAAGATCCTTTAATTACCTGAATCAACAACAAGAAAAAAGGGAAAGAAAGGTTCTTTAATAACATGAATTAATAACAAAAATTTGTCCAGTTACTCTTGATGACTCCTGATATTCTGAATAGGTTTTAAAATTATAAAGCTGGAGTATGACTTTACACAAGAGCAAAGAACAAGGGGCAATGGCTTTAAACTGATGTACAGCAGACTTATATAGAAAGTCTTCACTGTGAGAGTGGTGAGGCACTAAAACAGGTTGCCCAGAGAAGTTATGGATGCCCAATGCCTGGAAGTGTTCAAGGCCAAGCTGGATGCAGTTTTGAACAGCCTAGTCTAGTGTCCCTGCCCATGGCATGGGAGTTGTAACTAGATGATCTTTAAGGTCCCTTTAAACTCAAACCATTCTATGATTCTGACTGCTCAGCTCTCCCATTATCAAGCAACAAAAAGTCACCATTACTGAAAAGACAGAGAATGAAGTTTAGTTTCACTCATTTAGTTTTCTATCAGTTTCAAATCAAATTACCCAAAGATGTGAGTTAGGGGAAAAAGCCAAGAGTACTTTCAATTTGACCAGCAGAAAATATCCTTCCATATGGTCAAAACTGCTCAAATTGTATATTCAGAGACTTGTGTAATAAATTGGCTTATCTTATAAACATCTTCTATACATAAGTTTATTTTATAATTTTCCAACTGTGCTTAAGGAATGCCTGTGCATGCCTCACTACAGGCTTGATTACAGTACCCCCACGTTGACTTACTCAGGCTAAAAGTTCCTTAACTTCATAAAGTCATTTAAATCACTTAAGTGCCTCTAGGTATATTATAGAGCTCTACTGAAGCAAAGGAATCTAACAGGATATATTCCCCTGAGTCTGTAACAAAAGGAAGTACCACACACAAATAGAAAGCATACCAGTACTTCACAGGAAAAGGCTTCAGCAAAGAAATCATATCCTTATAGCAAATGAAGGCTACATTTCATCTTTATGGATATAGTGCTCTACTCAAATGCACTACAGTGAAAGAACCACAGCCTGTTTAAAAAGGCAAATACATCAAACAACTTACTGATGCATATGGTTTTCAAGTAAATGTGAGTGCCTAAATACAATGTATTGCCTACAAAGCTACCTGAAGTATTTTTCAATGCATCTGTTACTTATGTGTATCATACATCAGCTTCTTCAGCTGCTAGAACACACAACCTTTCATCATACAGCAAGCTTTAAACCAGCGTAAGACAGAACTGCTACCCCAATGCCTGGGTCCCATCTTCTTTCTGTCCCAATCTCAGTCTCTCCTTTGCAAAAGTAAAAATTAAAAGTCACTCCCATGAATCACATCAAAAAACTGGTCTGGGTGTCAGGACAGCTCCTTTCAGTGCACACACTGGTTTATGATGGCTTAATCTACAGTAAAAAAGGAAAGTCTCCACTCCAGCTCTGAAACATTTAAAACTTCCTGCTGGCAAGATAAAGAAACCAGAGTGTTTCACTTATATGAAGTCCCTTCAAGTTTCTAAGTATGGCTATATTTTGGTAATACATATCTGCATGCTACATTATTTAAATAAGAAATAGAACGGTTCTAGCTGTAAACATGATGCAACTGAAGACTGTACAACAAACTTTTATTCTACAAAAAAACAGCATTTAGAAATGGATGGTGTAACACATATGTACAGTAGCCAATTTATTCATGTTTGAAAGATATTAACAAAGATAATAGATTCATTAAATGCATTGTTCTATATCACTACCAACCAAATTGTTTAACAACTCTCACCTGGTAATTTACCTAAATCTTCATACTATGAACAACTTGGCACACTGCCAGCCCCAGTTTAGAAGAACAACAGATGAACTTCGAGTTTTCAGGAGTTTTTAACAAAATGCTTTAAAAGTAAAGCTACTGCCAATATGTGTTTGATTCTGAGTATTTATTTCTGTGGCCTATGGCTGAAGCCTTTTCAAACTTAACATATTAAAATGAAATAAAACCCCTTAAGTTCATAAAATATCCTTAGAGCTATTTTGTACTTTTGGGCTTTCACACAATCAAATCTGCCTGACCAGAACACTACAAGTAGCTGGTGCAGCAGCACTGGTCGAGTTCTTTGAGCCAGAGACCGCCCCTGACAATACATTTACCTTCAATATTGTTCATCTCAACTCCCAAGACATGTTCTGGTAATAAACACATCAGCAAGGTCCATTACAAGGTAGTGGTTAATTAATGCATACCTAATGACTACTACTTGCGCAATAGATAATAATTCATTCAAGTCCACTCTTTCCAAGAGCTACCTTCATTAAGCTGTCTGTTTACTATCCAGAATAGAAGTCCCTGGAACTGAAAAATTGAACCATGACACAGCATGAAAAAATACCCCACCATCCAGAGGACTACACACACGAGTAACTTGCTTCTAGGTTCAAAGGCATGCTAATGCTTTACACTCATGTGATGTTTTCATACTTTCACCCCTTTAAGGGAAGCAGAAGGGGAAATAAAAATTGCATGTTAATGCTTTAATCTTAAAGATCAAAAGTCTAATCTGAGCTAGAAGCTTTTCTTTTACCAAAGGGGCATTCATGTAAGAGAATCTACCCTTATTATCTTCTGCAAGAGGAAAACAAACTTAAAACTGAAAACTTCTTAAAACTGAGTGAGAGGATGTTTTCAGACACAGAATTTTAACAAAACTTATTTTGAAAGAAGTTGGTGAAACGCACTTGAATGGAACAAACTGAAAATCTGACATCATCCTACAGCTTAACCTTTCCAATTGAAAGGATACACGAGGAGCAAAGCAGGTGAAACGGGAGAGAATAGCACTACTAATTTACCTAAGCAGCCAATTCATCCCAACAATTTCAGAAGAGGTTCAACTTCAATGTCATTCCATCAAAACACAACCCTCCAACTCTTATTTCTTGTAAAACATGTCGGGTTTTTTAGACCAACATCAGCTTACTTTTCATGCGACATTTCTGAGCTTTGAGTCATTAAAATCAATTAACCACAAAGCACTCAAACACTAACACTATCTATCCATAACACCAAATATATTACAAAATAAAAAAAAATGCAAATACTCATTTAAGTTTTGGCTTCATGCATATCTGCATTTTAAAAAGTAAGCTGGAATACTACTGCATATTCTTACAGTATATATATTGCACCTTCTAGAAGTAGTAAGAACACTGTAACAATGAGCATGAGCAGATAAACAGAAGCTTGACAGCACTGCAGCGAAATAAGTTTGATCTTACTACCTAAAGAAGGTGAAAGGCAAATTTTTACAACCTAGTTTCATTTCATTTTATTGAAGTGCCTACAGTATTCTGTGAGTGCCTGCACATACACAGACACACACAGAAAAAGAGGTATCTACAAACAGTTTACACAGATATTTACATACATGTTATTTACATAAACTAATATGACTTCATGATCTTTGATGTAAAAACCATATGCTTCTTGCACATGTAACTGTTGCATTGGTTTTACAAAAGTAATATAAACCTTTTGCAACAACTGGCTAAGCATATATTGCAGCTGATTCCAAGTTTTTAGAGCTTGCAGGTTTTTTAAAAAAATACAATACCTAAAACACTGTTATCAAACAAATATGCTTTATTGGCATCTAAAAACAAAATGCACCCAACATTAAAATGTACTTTTTTTCATTTTTTAAACCCACTGCAGTACGAGGAACAAATCACAAACACTTACTTTAGAGAAAACAGAGACTATAGTGTAGATTTTACAAAATCACTTTTAATCTCTGTGTTATGCTCCTTAAGTAACATGGGCCATTTTTTTTTCTGCCGAATTGTAGGAACATAAAATATCACAGCTTTATCTATACTTTAAAATTCTGCAGCAGTCTAAAAACACGGACAAGATACACCAGCACCTGTTTTCAAGTATAACAATTTTGATAGCCAAACTATGGGTAGTATCTAAAAATTCCATTTTCTTCCATAGGAAGTCTTTGTTTGACAAGCTGTTAATTTATCATTGTGAAATTAAAAGCAATTGGGGGCAAGTTTATGTTTTACCAAAGAAATAAAATAAAATTAAAAAAAAAACCCAAAAGCAAAAAACGTTTACCTACCATGTTCAAATTAAGAACAGTGTTCTATACAAGTCAGTTGTACAGATATTTAAGTGAAAGATGAACATGAACATCAGATTAACTTAATTCTGGCAGACAAAAGTGAACTGCTACGGTCCAGTCAGCCATTTATCTATTACAGAGAGATGACAACTTTACAAAAGGTATCTTTTACCTACTGAGTGATGATTATGTCCCCTCAGTTTCTGTGCTTTCTACCACTGGTTCACTCTCTATATCAGCTTCTGTGTCACTCTTCTCTTTGTTTATCTCGACAGAAGATGTCAGTTTTTCATAAAGTTCTGGATCATCCTGCACCTGTGCAGTTGGTGGCTGACTTTCTGTCTCTGTATTTTCACCATTTACCTGGGGCATATTATCAGCTTTGCGTTGAGAAGTGGCCCCATCAAAATATTCAAAAACCCGTGGATGTGGAGGCGGGATCCAGTTGTTTGACATTCTGTCTCTTCCAAACCTGTTTCCATTAATTTCTCTGCAAAAATTAAAATCTCTGTCATCCCTATCCCTCTGTCTTTCCCAGGGTCTTCTGCGGTCATCAAAATCTCTGTGAGCATCTTGTTCAAATCCTCTATTCCAACTGGGACCACTTCTACTATCAAACCTATAGTTTACATGCCGAAACCTCTCTCTGTCTTCATGGAAGCCTTTAGGGCCACCATAAATAGGGAAGGCATGGTGCTCTCTTTCATCATAATCTCCTCTCTGTCCCCAGTGCTTGTCTGAATTGAAACCAAAATGCTCTCTTCGGCCAAGGTTATCCATACCTGGTCTTCCAAAATTTTCTCTCATGTCTATATGTGGTCTAGCAAAATGTTCTCTTCCATCTACTGGAGGCCTTCCTATACCCTCTCTTGGATCAACTGGTGGTCGTCCAACAGAATCTCTGACATCCACTGGAGATGGTCTGTTAAGATTATCTCGGTTTTCCACCGGAGGAAAGCGATAATCTCTGTCCCCCTCCTGTTGAATGTTATCACCTCCAAGTGGTAGCCTTTTCTCTGGATTAGAAATGTTATCAATATTTTGTCTTCCTGGTGTTCCAAAAGGTCTTTCTGTTTGATTAAAAATATCTCCTGGAGGAAAAGGACCTCGAGGTGGTGGTGGGTGAAGAGATGGATCAAGGATTGCGGGAGGAGGAATAGTACGCTGTGGTGGCATTCCTGGCTGCATCAATGGAAACCTTGGTCCAGGCGAATGGGGCATTAGGCCTGGACGGATATCTATAAGAGGCATTCCTGGCATTCTTTGATTACTGATATTTAAATGAGGCATGTTTGGAACTGCACCTGGATGCTGCATTGCCAGAAGTCCAGAATTACTTGAAATATTTGGTGGTGGCACTCCCATAAGTCCAGAACTAGTTGAAACGTTGGGTGGTGGCATTATGAGAAGCCCAGAGTTGCTTGAAACACTCGGTGGCTGTACTCCTGCCAGAACTCCTGAGCTACTGGAAACACTGGGTGGCTGCATTCCTGTCAGAAGGCCAGGGCTGCTTGAGACACCAGGAGGATGAACTCCAGCTAGAAGCCCTGAGCTACTTGAGGCATTTGGTGGTGGCACTCCAGCCATAAGTCCAGAGCTACTTGAGGCATTAGTTGGCTGAATCCCGCCAGCAAGAGAAGAGCTACTGGAGACAGCAGGCAACTGCATTCCTCCTGCAAGACCAGAATTGCTGGAAACAGTTGGCGGTTGCACTCCTCCTACAATTCCAGAGCTGCTTGAAACACTGGGTGGCTGTACTCCCCCTGCAAGCCCAGAGCTACTTGAGCCAGCGGATGGTGGCCCTTCTCCGGTAAGCCCAGAATTGCTTGAGACACTGGGTGGCTGCACTCCTCCAACAAGTCCAGAGGTACTCGAGACATCACTTTGCACTGAAATGCAGGGATAATAAAAACAATTAAAAAAAAAAATACCAGTGTTAACACAAAATGCAATTTAAATCCATGTTTAGGTAATGCATGCAGTGATGATACTGCTGACAAGGTCTGTCCCAGTTTCTATAACTAATATATATTATTTCAATCACATTGGTGATACATAGACATTATGCCACAGAAATGAATGTCTCTACATAGTAAAGACTGTATAGTAGCTTAAAATTAACAAACCCCAAAGCCATCACCCAATTTATGCAATGAAACTATTAAAATATTTGATGAAGTTCTATAGATGTTATACTAGCCTACCCTCTACTGCTCCTTTCCATTGCTATTTGTGAAATCAAACTGCATTTTTAAGAAGTTTTCTGATGAGTTCCCAGACTCAGCTTTACTTCCTGAGACTATGAGAACAACATATTTGAGCATAAGCTGCTAGCAGTCATTGATCAGATGATGACAAAGATGGTTCTCATGACTTCCCCAAATTAAATACACAGTCATGCCCTACCTAGCCCAAAACTTCCTATTCTGTAGTTACTAGCTCAATGGACTATGATTTGCAAAAATGTCTCAGAGTACGATGCTTCCTGTACAGGATCATATCATATAATGAAAACATATCTTACCAGATCTATTGTTTTCACTGGAAGAAATCTGAAGGTCTGTAAGATGTGGTCCTTTGTCATCTGATTCTGGTTTGTTGATCGGTAGGGGATTAAAAACACTTCCAGCAGATAATGTTGGAGTAGCTAGATTGCTAGTAACTGTGCCAACTGGTAGAACAAGGCCAGTGAAAGGAACATCCTTCATCGTCTCTTGTGCAATTGGTAATGGAGGCTGTACTAAAGCTGTAGAGATGTAACAGAAGTGTATCACAGTAATCATATAGTGAAACTTTCAAATTTAGTTTGGTAGAAGTCAGGCTGATAAATCAGAAGAAATTAAATTAATTACCCTCACTGGTACATTTTTTGATAATAAATTTCTTATCCTTAATCAGCAATGTAATATTTAGGGTTTTTTTTCTAGAGATCATGAGCTGCAGGCAAACCTAAGCAATCAGTACTCTAACATATCTTTAAATGTGAAATGAATACAGTTAGAATGCTAAACTATAATAGATTATTATATATTATTTAGTGACTAAAACCAAATAATTCTAGTAATAGTTACATATGTTAGAAAGGTGCAAATATTGAACTAGGCATACAAATAATTAACAATTTGCAACTTAACTCCATGTTAGGTACAATTTTTCAGTCTACATTATAAGCTCTGGAAGTCTTTTTTTCAATGCCTGCTTAAACCAGCTAAACAACAACTTCTGCATTGCTATTTCCCATTACACAGAATTAACTTGCTTATGATTAAATAACAAGGAGTTTATAAACAGAGTAAACTTTTCATCACACACAAACAATTGTTAGAGCAATCAAACTTACGTGTTGGAACAACTGGTGGGACAACAGGTGGTGGGACAACGGGTGGTGGGACAACAGGTGGAACTGGAGGAGGCATATAACCTATATGGAAAAAAATGACAAATGATTACATGAAAAGCAAATAAACTTTTGCAATAAAAGACTGCCTACATTATTTATCCCAAAAAAGTTGTGCCACTGTACACTGGCAAACAACGTATTAATAGGAAGAGGCAACAAAAACAACCCCATTTTCACTACAGATGATCTGCAGGTGCATCTTTATGTGATATCTACCAGTAGTATCCAAAGAAGAAAATCAAGAGTTTCAAAACTTTCAAAAGGAAGGACATTGATTTTAAGTACGTTTAAATTTTAATTTTTCACAAAGGTAGAAAGCTGTGATTCTTCTTCTCAACAGAATACACTGGTAAAAATAATACCAAGTTAGATAAAAGTAATTTTAATCTAGTATGTAATTTAGGAGTCAAAGGCCAATTCACTTAGACAGTAACAAGTAGCTGACAGAAAACTTTGATGTACACAGAAGCATACTAACTGCCTATGCTCATTACACAATGCACTTCATTTTTACTGACTTACCTGGAGGTGGCTGTGAAGGGTTGAAACTTGCTCTCAAGAAGGGTGGAGGAGGAATTGGGCTATAACCAGGAGGAGGGACAGACATTGTGACAGGAAACGCAGGTGGAACCAAGCTAACAGCAGGCACAGCTGGAGCTACTGGAATCTTTTTTCATGGAAAGAAAAACAAGCAGCTTCAATATTTAAGAGTATTCAAGGACATTAAAAGGGATAAACTGATCTAACTGCAATTGATATCAAGCACTAAATGTACCAAGGCTTTGTATATAATTCAAACACCGAAGAATTAGATTGCATTCTGAAATGGTACACTATGAACAAACAAGGACACTGGAAGAATCTTATTTTATCTTTACTTCATTCTCACACAGCCGAAAAGAGAGTTTATTCTATTCAAGAATAAAAATATACCTATTGCAGAGGGGTGAATGCAGAAATGCAGAGCGAGAAAAGGAAGAAAAATATAAATAGTGTAGCAATTTGGGGGCACTTTGAAAACAGTGATTCTAGTGTCTAGAAAAACTTATGTATTTTAGAACAGTACTGGAAAATTAAATTTTGTGTGTGTAATTACAAGGCTAATAATCCCGATGAAATCCTGAAAATTATTTATTATTTCTTGAATTTCTGTTTGAGCTATGTATTTTGTTACAGTTCATCATATTTACAATGATGTAATCGGAAGCAGTATAAACACAATATATACATGTATTTTTAAATATATACTGATCACAGTGTACATTAGAAGACAGCTGAGACAGGAAGACTGAAGACAGTTTTTGCGAAGAGGAAAAAGTCCAAAATTCAATTCAAGTAAATGCAAATATATTAACATTCATATAATTTTATGTCAGTTCAACAACTGGAAATGTCTATACACATTTAGAAAGATAAAACACTAAGTACAAAACTTATTAAGGAATTGCATGAAACTAAAGATTATGCATGGCAACTATTCTAAAATATTTCAGAGATGAACACTAATGGATGCAGGACTTAAAAATATTTTATCACTTAAACTCAGCATTAAAGTTTACCTGTATTGAATAAAAAGTCTGCCCACCAGTTCTGTGTGGCTTTTGCAAACTCAGACAATACCAACCTGCAGCATAGTGACTGGTTGTGTGTAAGCTTCTGTCTGTGTTGTGATAACGGTACTCTTATCAACTGTAGCACTCTGCGTCGTTTGAGTATTTTCTTTAGCAGCTTCTGAGCTTCTGGCTGTTTCCCACTCTTCAAAAATGATGTATTTTATTATAAAAAGATAAGTAATGTATTATTTTTGTTTAGATGTCTTCCTTCTTAAACAATAAATTTTAATCTAGTATCTACATAGATTCATTACAAATAGCCCTCAAACTTATTTTGAAAAGAATGACTGCAATTATTTATTACTGTGTATTTTAAAGAACAAAATATCTTTATCTACCTGAAATGCTGTTTAATTTTGCCCATATACAAACTGATTTTTCAAAACTTGCCAACTTTTTTCACCAATCATTCTGTAAACAATTTGCAATATAGAGTATGCTCCTGTTTTCTAAAAACTCCTGTAGCTAATATATGTATGTTATCACTTGGCAACTGTACAATGAGAAAGAATCCCGATGTTAAACAAACCCCACCACCACCTCCATTTCTTCCATTTGCCATTTCTTCAAGAATTTTGTTCTTTAATTGTAACATAGTGAATGTATTTCAGTAATGTTACATGTTTTAATTTTTGTCATTTATACTTAATTTTCACTCAAAGCAAGACTGTATTTTGACCTGAAGAATCACTGTCACTACCGCAGAAGTCTTCATCTACTGTTTATTTCAGTATAAATCTGTTTCAAGAAATTACAGTACAAGTAAATCTTTCATAAACCTAACAAACTGTTCAATTGGGTTTCAGAATAAGGGCTAACACTACGTGTTTTCCTGTCTCTCTGACTTTATGGAAAAAAATACCATAAGGTTCTGCTAAGCTGTGCCTGTCAGAACAAATTCTAATTTCAGCTTAAGTATTTTACCAGAATATAAGACTTTCCTAATCACAAGCAGATAACAATTTCTACACAAATTAATATTTCATATCCCAGTGCACAAGAAGTTCAAACCTCTTAAAATATGCTAACCTTTATTAACTGACCTAAGCTAATTATCCTCTGTCACCAATTCTTCATTGTCATGACAATCAATTAAAACTAAAATTAGTTGATTAATCTAAAAATAAAATCTAGATTTCATTATTACAGTGCCATTTATATTGTAAACAAAGAGCTAGAAAAATCTAAGCAAATGAAAAAAGACTGTATTTCCTAAACAATAAATTTTCTGAGAATTTGCAATTACCAAAATAAACACATTGTCTATCAAAATTGTTAATGTCTGTACCTGTATTTACTGTTTCCTGGTCAATCATGCCACCTTCAGCAAAGCCCTCTAAATCATCCAATTTCACTTTCTCCCATGGAATATAGGAAACTCCCAGATCCACATCCCAGAATTGTTTGTATTCTGTTTTCACACCTTTATTCAAAGCCCAAGCAATCTGAAAATAAAACCCAATCAGACAGTCTGGTTAAATAATATAACCTGGGAACAGAATATTTCAGATTATTTCCTTCAAGTTTCTGTCACTGCACATCAGTCCTCAGTGTCTGTTAATTAAAAGTTATAACAATGTTTGGATTTTAAATGAACCTGCAAGAAGTTTACTTGGCCTCTACAACAGGTGTATGTATGATCATCAGAAAGCTTAAATTTGTTCTACCTTAATCCTAACATATATATGGGGAAATTAAAAATACAGCATTTCAATGACTTACCCTAAAGTATCAAGCAGGTAGAAGAAGCCCCTATAACACCTAACAAAATACTTAACTCCAAGACTACTACAAAGTTTAATATTAAGTGACCCAAACGGTCAGGTACAGGACTTAGGCTGTATGTATATAAACTATGGTCCACGTGTTTCCTAAAGATCAAGTAATTTTTCTGTCTTTCATACTGCCTGTTAAAAGCTGCATTTCACACAGAAAAAAAGCAGTTAACACCTCACTGCTTCATTCTTCTTCTCCACATTGTACATTTGAAAGAACAGCTGCTAAAAGACCAACCATCATAGTAGAATTGTACTGTGATGGAAATGGACAGCATCCTTAAGATTAAAATCACCTTACCTTAATAATTTTAGATCCAATTTTATATGACCCAGAACTAAGTTTCTGAAGAGCACGATATGCATCTTGTCTATGTACCATACAGACATAAGCACATCCTCTTGGGGGAATCATCTATGGAAAAACAGCAGTGGTCTTAAAAAGTAGGAAAATCAGTACTTCAGATTATGTAAGAACACTAATTGAATACTAATACTACAGAAGGAAAGGCTTACTACACTGTAAACAATTGTTACCTTAATCGGTCATATTAACAAGTTTGGGTATCAAGAAAACTTAAGAGTGAAACCGGCAGGCTACTTCAGTTACAACATTTTCAAGAAGCAGCAGCAAGCTGAAGAATGAGTGTTATTAATGACATGAAAGATTTGAACAAGGAACAGACTGGGAGCTACATTATGACAGCATCATAAAAGCAGAGGTTGCTACCACTTCTTAAGCTCCAGATTCTCTGTGAGCTGAGCAATAACCTCTCACAGAGGAGCAATAGTGATTAAAAGTATATTGCATTTTTAAAGGGTAGTCTCCTCATTCCTGAATGTGAATTTTTTCTTACGTTTTACTGTAATTATGGATGTATAGCATGTTTTATTTATTGTATGACATAGCATGTGATCTTTGCAAGCTTATGCTAGCTAAATTGTCACGTATGACAATTGCTTACCTCCCTTTTAATCAAAAATCTTGGTGTACTTTTGCACTGTTTAAATGCACATAGTAACATAACAAACATGTAAGATGACAGACTGTAAACATATTTTCTGAGACCTGCATTAGGATATACATTGTTATTCCAGTTACTTAAGCTTTGTGGAATGTGTAGGATGAACTACCTACAATATGGTTTGCCTTTGAAATGTAACAGGCACTGGGACATGTATAGTTGTTCCATTACTTTCCTTAATAAATAGCCCCTGCAAATCAAAATGAGGTTTAAATATCTGACTATGAGGCTAGCTTTTTCACTTGTGAAACTTTTTAGAAGATTCTCTAAAGTCACAAAAAAGTATTCCGTATTAATTACATATTTGAATATATTAACACAACAGGAAAACAGTAAAAGTTTCATCTGAAATGAATGAAATTGCACAAGAAGCATTTTAAAACTGCTGAAGCAAGATTTCTCTCATGCAGATGTGCTGTTTTAGGAGAAATATACCTTCTTTGAAGCTGAATTATAGGCAACTGAGGTACTACCCTAAACACCTGACTCTAAATTACTCTAAGTAATGAGAATTGTATGTCCCAATTACAAGCATGTTTTTAATTGTCACATTTTAGAATGTTTGTTTACAGTACAATTTCTTTTCTTCTAAATGTTTTATCGAGAAGGATTCAACTTAAGGAATCCTCTGTTTGGAAAGTAACCAAGAACAATATGGATATACATCATAGGTGTTCTTAGACCAAGGAAAAATGACACCTGCTCCATGACACATCACTAAACCAGAATTAAACCTGGTTTAAAAACTGCATAAAGTGTTAGAACTTAGGAAGAGCCTTTTTACCTTGAAGTGTACTGTCTTTAGTGCTACAAAACAGAGTAGATCAAAACCAGGTGGCAAATACCATGGCCACAATTTTTAACTGTGATAGTAAAGTCTCCTAAATACAAGTTTAAGCAGCTGTAAAGAATTCAGAGACTAGTCTAACATTTCTGAAAAAGCATAGCAACATGCTTACTTACATTAATTGACTCTATTTGTCCAAATTCTTCAAACAAGTTTGTTAAATCTTGCTGTGTAGCCTTCTTGTCTACTTGACCTACCCAAAGAGTAGTACTGCAAACTGTCAAGAGACACATTCACATCAATCAAAATACTTAATGTTAGTTTATAAAATACTTTATAGCATGAATGTAAAAGGTTTTAAAACTACCCAGGAGTCACTGCTGAAAACCCAAGAATGGTAAATCTATTACTTACTATATCGAGATTAAAGTACATTAACAAAAATAATAAAGGGTTAAACAACAACAAACATATTCACCACAAGCGCTCATTCTTCTTGTTTCATTTTCTTTCAAACAAAATTGTTGTTTTCATAGAAATAAAACTGTAAAATTCTGTAGATTATCCGCTATGGTAAACTGAATTATAAATTACTTCTGGAAAAAAACCAAAACATTTCTCTTCTACTTTCCATTAAAATCCCCATGCCTTTAGGATTCATATCAATTTTTAAAAAGACTAAGTTCTAACTGCCTAAAAATGTATTGCAGATGGAAATTAATACAGCGCTATTATGCACTGCATTTTCACCTGAAAATAGCAACAATACTATTAATTTACCATGGGCAACAATCTGGAAAGAAATTTATCTGAGGCCAATGAGGCTGAAGACATGCATGATACTGCTGATTCTTGTCAATTCCACCACAAGCCCAGATCCCTGCCTTCCAGATGTCCTCCCATCCTCGCCAAACACAAACACTTGCTGAGCTAAGACTTCTTTCTCCCATATGTACATGGTTCCAATTCCTCTGTCTTCCAAATACTGCCCAATCTATATGTACAGCTTGGATTTCTTGGTCTGCCCTATCCTTTACCAAGGAAGCATTCTTTCTTCATCGTTATCTTGATACATCACATCTCCTTTCTGTACCAATCCCGGTGCACCAAAATGGAAACCAGAGCTGTGCATTCTGTCAACTGACATTTTCATTGACATTAGTACTCTGCAGTGCTGAGAATGACCATTTGTAAGATTTCTCTTGGACAAAACTTGTTCCTTACGTGCCTGTAGATATCTATCCCTTTTGTATCTCATGGTGTTAAGCTCCAGGAAACAACTCTTCAGATCTCAACAAGTAATAGTGGCTGTCACTGAACAAATTTCATGAACAGGAATACTTGTCAGGTGAATTAATTATTTATTCAATCACTAACCTCTCCCCAAAGTTTCCACACTTCACTTAGCCTACTTAATATCTCCTTTAAATTTCACAGGACCTCAAATGCTGCTGCTGTTCACTAGGTTACTTAACATCTGTCTCTCAGCTCCCAACCATTCTGATTATACCTCCCTTGCCTTGTAGACTTCTGGAAGAAATCTACACCATAAAACCAATTTGTCTCTTTTCATGTGAAAAACCAGAGAAGAAGGGCAAAAAAAAGTGCATCTAAACTGTAATACAGTCCCCACTTTAAAGTCACCTTGGAATAATATAAAATATTAATGTGAAGAGAACAGAACATTCTTTCATTTACAAAAAATGAGTTGTGAGCTGTTTTCTTGTCAAATAAACCATATAGTTCTAACACTCAAGATCAATGCAAAACTATATCAAAAACCGTTTATAACCTATCTGAACAAAACTAAATTCTCAAAATACATTACCTTTGATTTAAGCAACCGGGTGGAGGAAGTTATTTTTCTCCTTACTACCTTCCTTTTTTTTTAGTATGTAAATTCTCTGTGGAAATGAAAGCAGTACACAGCAGCACTCTGCAGAGGCTGAAATCCACTTGATTTTTCAATACTTTCTTAAGATACCACCATTATGGTCTGTCTTATACTAGCTTCCATCTGCTTTGGTGCTATATTCCTCTAAAAATGTATTTAAAAAGCAATGTAAACATTTAAAAACTCAGGCCTCTAAGATTTCCACCAAAGTGTTCAACATGTGCACCACACACTTTAACATTTTAACAATTTTCAGACCAACTGCTGGACACATTCAAATGCCAAGTTAAAGACAGCATTAAAGAGAAAAGATTGTAACTTAGAGATAGCCCTTGCTGCTCTCTGTTTAGAAGCATAATCAGTGGTGCAAGCGTGACTAAAGACATCAGTCAAAGAGTATGATACGTGTTGTTGTCTAAGAAGATATGATGTACCTAAGCTGCAAGAAACATCAGAAATTAAACTTATAAATATATAAGTAGTCAAGATAAATCTTGTTCTTTCAATGAAAACAGAGCCTTTTTTCCATTTAATAATTTTTTTTTCCATTTAATCCATTTAATTAAAGCACTAGGCAGGTGCTACATACCGCTTAGTGTTTTTGATCGTATAGGAGGCAATCCCTTTTTCTGACGCTCTTTTTCCCTTTCCCTAGCCCTTCTTTCACTGGAGTATGACCGAGAAGACTTTCTCTTCCTTTCTCTTGATCTTGAGCGTGAACGTTTTCTGTGTTTCCGCTTACGAGAACCAGATCGTGATCTAGACCTTCGTTTTCTTGGTGACCTACAAAATACTTAATTTTAGTATGCTGAGTTAAAAAAAATACTCTCACTTAGTTGTCTTTTAACTATAAACTTAAGGCACTACACAGATATTTCCATTATATTCACTAGAACTACTTCAGGAAATAAACTTAATGCCATTTGGGTGAGGAACAGAATGTACACCTTAAAACAAAACACATTCAAAATGTTCTTTATCTACAGTACCTAATTCTCTGGCACAGAAAGCCTGTCCAGCTGGCTAGTGTTAACTATTTCTGTAACCTGAATAGGTTTTAAAAAATTTCAGTTAAATCATCCACATGGCAAATGAACTGTCATACCAAAAGTATGCATCTAACACACAAATATTTAATGAACATGTCTTTTCATTGCCAAAACTGCTTATGACGATTTTGGAAAATACAGAATTAAGACTGACAATCACAAATTGCAACTGTTTTTCAGAAAAGCTTCCTTTACTTAATACAAGATAATTACAAAACCTTGAACGAGATCTTGAACGAGTTCTTGATCTTGAACGAACAGCTGATTTCTTTTCTTCTTGTTCAAAAATCTCTTCTTCAGCAATATCCTGACCTTCATCTATATCCATGTCCTGAGATCAGACATAAAAGATGTTCAATAACACTTAATAAATTTACTCACAATACATATGACTTGGAATCATGTTAGTTTGTGTTTTCAATTTCTATAATAAAATTTTAAATAGTTTTACCTGCTGTTGAATATCCATGGAATCATCTACATTTGCTTCCACTTCTAAAAATTGTTGTTGACTACTCCCTTGTGATGGTGATGCAGAGTGCTCTGAACCAAAATTTCCTTCTTGATTCTCCTCAGGGCTTGCCTAAATAACAGTTAATAATATACCATAAAGCCCCTTGCAATTACAAATGTAATATTATACAAAAATAATGTTTCCATTTCTCATTAATATGAGAGCTGAACTGGATATCAATCCATTCATTCCTTTTTTATGGTATCATCCTTAAACATAAAACTTCAAAATAATTAATATTTCTGATTACAAAAGATTAGCATCTATTTGCTAAATAACAAAACTACAGTATACAGAGTACACAATTCACTGCTTCAAAACATAAATTCACAGGACAAATGTAGCCATATGTACAGTGACGTTGAAAGACACCCACTTGTTCCCTATGCATGTGCATTAATAAATGTTGATACTAACACAATAAAAATATTTCCAATACCAATTGAACTAGTTAAAAAATTTACACTAGCCAGAACTTTTTAACAGTGAATGATTTCAGACAAGCAATTACTGAAAAATAAGAGAGGAGGCTATGTCATTTGTGTCAACACGGCAATTTCAAGAGATCTAACAAAAGAAGCAGTTCTGAAAAAAACCCCAAAATTAATGAATGTGGAATACTCAAAGTGTTAACAATTTGCTAGAGAAAAGGCTATAACAGCCTTTGCATTGCCTGAAAGTACAGATTTGGAAAAAATATCTCTAAGGTACAAGATAATTCAAGAACTAGAACAAATGAAATTAAAATATTCAGAAATCATATGAGTACAATTTAGAAAAGCAATTAAAAATCTACAATCCATTACTGCAGGTAAACATTTCAGTGATCCTCACTATATTTTAACTTTTAATTAAACAAATCCTACATGTTCTATCTGCCCAAAGAATTACAGGAATTTAGCAGAATGACTAGAAGTAACAATTTTATCTTTCTATTTTTTAAACATCTTATAACAAATTTGTAAAAAAATATTCTACTATAATTCAGTTAATTTATTTGCCTTGTGACAGAATGTTTTGTCTCATTTTCCTTGTATGTAATTATTCTTCAACCATCTGTTTCTTGGTATCAATGCCTACAATTCTTGTTGCTCCTGTTTTTATCTTCTGTCCTCTCCTCCCTTTCCCTCTGCTCCTCATCAGATCCCTAATATTTTTCTTTTGTGCTTCATCTTTTCTTCTCTTTCCCTTTGATCCTTCCCAATGAAACTTATACATGGAATTAAAGAAAACATTACCATAACATACTGCAGTCACTACAACGTAGTTCCAGCAGCAGTTTGTATCTTTTAGCTGTTATCAAAGTGAAAAAAAAAAAAACTTTCTCTCCATACTGACTAGACAAGAAGATTGGATCTGAAGGGAAAATTCGTCAGGTCTTGTAATAGAAAATTAAATAGGAACGGGAGAGTCAAGTAAATATTCTACTCATAAATATACTGTAAACTTTGATTTTGCCAATTTTACAATAAGGTAGGCATTCAGTATTTTTATTTTCAAATCAGACAGATACTTTTTGATATGACACATCAAGAGCTCCTCAAACAGATCATTCCTCATTGCTTTATTCCTTTACAACATTTTTAGTGTTTAGAAACAGAAATGGCTAGATATTCACCAAGAACCGAAACTATTTAGTCTGTAGCTATGCTGTATATTCTTTTCCATTTACTACACTTAAATGAGAAATGAAAATAAAGCAGTAAAGAAAGAGTATCTAGTAAAAATTAAATTAAATTAATAGTCAGAAATTCAAAGCTTAAATGGCATTCTTGATTGGAAGCTGAGCCACTTGGCTCAGGCAGTGAAATAGATTGTTCAGGGAGGTGGTGGGGTCACCACCCCTGGGGGAGTTTAGGAGGTATCTGGATCTGGGCTGGGTGATGTGGTTCAGGGGTGACAGTGGCAGTGCTGGTTGACAGCTGGACTTGATGATCTTAAGGTCCCTTCCTACCCTGACTACTCAATGGTTCTACAAGTTGGCCTTTGCACAGGTTGAACTAAAGTCTCCAAAAGATGTTTGTTACGTTTGTGATCCCTTGTCTTTTCTTTCAACCTGAGATTTCTATTTTCCTGTGAAACCAGATCCAAATACTCCACACAAAATCCATTTCATACCTGGCCAGAATCAAGACAAAACACTTTGTTTGTTTTGTTTTTTTTTTTTTTGTTTTTTTTTTTTTTAATGGGATCAGGAGGGGAAAAGAACATTTTAAGTACAGAGGACTAATGTCAGTAGAAATAAACCAAGTTACTTCAGCATAGAGAGGACACAATTCATATAGTTAAGAGGAACCTTGGGTTATCTCAAGCACCAGTTCTTAATGAATAATTTCTCAGGATATATGTGATTATACTTTAGCTCAGAATCTATACTTCAGATTCTTCAACAGAATTATTTCAACAATTACTAGTCAAGACATAAAACCTGGGGAAATTAAAGCTACCCACAGTCTCTATTCTGTATGTGTCCTACCCTCAGAGACAGGAGCATAATCACTTTATTGCTCACCTTATTCCTTCTGTGAGCATGGGAAAGCTTTTTTTTCCCCATGTAAAGAGCTGAACAGCCAAGCACAGTCACGTCTAACTCACCTAATGAATACTCTTTCCTAAGAGAAGCAAAATGTACTCCCCACACATTTGGTTGTGGGTTTTTTTCTGCTTTAAGCACTTTTTTCCACCTACCCCACTTACTCTGCAAGCCTCTGTTACATGGTCAGCTAGCGATAAAGACTTTAATTATATGAAAACTGTCAGTAACAACACAATTTTTTTGTCCTGGAGTATGCTTTTTTTAATCAGAGGAGAACATATATTACTACAATAGCCACAAGATGGAGTTCTTACCTTTTGAGGCTGCTGCTGCTCCAGAAGCTGCTGTCTGAGATGTTCTAAATTTTGCTGCTGTAGCTGTTCAGCTAGTTGGTGAAAAAGTGAGTTGTTCACAGATTCTGGTACTAATGGCCTAAAATGAAATAACTTAAATTTAAAAAAAAATCCTACAGTTTTTCTGTTCATTTAAACAGTTAGTAAATAGGCCTTCACAACTGAGTTTCAAGTTTAACCAAAATGTAAAATAATGAGGACAATGGAGCTAGTTCCACCTTCAAGTATCATCACTATTCCATGAACTGTATAAATATTTAAACTATAAAAAGCAAAGAACATGCTAACTTTAGGATAAAGTTAGAAAATATCCCGGACCACAGATCTATAGTAGAATGTGTTTGTTAATTTAGAAAACTGTAATCTCTTCCTACAGTTTTAGTATACTTATGCTCTGAAATAAGTATTTTCCTTACTTAATCCTAATTTTCAACCAGCATCAGGCAAATTTTAGCATTTTCCGTAAGAAACATAGCTTAGTCTTACAATTGGGAAGAGGGAGTTTCCTTTTTAGGCTCTTCATTTTGTTCAGATTCTTCCCCAAAGTCAAACCTGTCCATCAGCTTCTAGGAGAAAACAAAATAAGCATTACTGAACACTCCTTATATGTCCCTTTAGGTATATTTCCTTTTCATCAGGAAGATGCTCTTATTTCTCAACTAAAAAAACAAAAATAATAAAAAAAAAAATTGGCAAATAACCTGAATAGAAAATTAAGTGTCATACTGCTGTTGTTACCGAACTCTTAACTGCATCAAATCTTGGCCCAATTTTCCTGAGCTCTGGTGCAACAAGTACAACCACATGTTCTTTTCCACAGTAACTAAGAACTACTTTGGAGTGAAGCTTAAATCAAGATTAATTTTAGGTAATGGTACCTTTAATTAGAAGAAATTACTACAAAGAGGCCAACTATTCAATCCTTTGGTAATCATCAAACTGCTCTGCTCATATCAAGAGAAGACCTACAGCTTGATTACTTCACAAAGAATTACTGTATTTTCACACACACATGTCATTTAGACAACCTGAATTCCTTCAAATATACTGCTCCTTCGAAACAACTTCTCACATAGTCTGCAAAAAAAATCAAAGCAAGCAGTTATCATGTAAGAGGATTAATCCTTCTAATGGATAAGAAGAAAGGTATCTGATGAGGAGAAAAACTTGGATAAACTTCCGGTGTTATCTGTGAAGATGTCTACACTGTAGTTTCTGCTTAAGTAAAAAAGTTTGTCTATTAATTTTAAAAAGTTCAGAAGTATTTTAACAGCACCTTACTTTCTTGAAGAGGAAATCTAACAAAAAAGCATAAATACAACAGATATTATTTGTCAGTGAGATTGCCTTTTTCACTATTTAATGAAAGAACCATGCTATTAAAGCCATGTCCATGCATCTTTACACACCTTGGAAGTTTTCTGAAAAGCAGAGCTAATGCTATACCACCATAACTTCCTCTCAAACCTTAATCTCAGAAGAAAAAAACCAAGAGGATGAGAACGTATGGTAGTAATTTTGAAATACTAAGGCAAAAACATCTTCAGCACAAAGCCACAATGATTCAGTACCCCATTTTCTTTCTCAGGATGCTCTATTTACTCTCAATTACTGGAGTCCAGCAAGAAGAACAAAGCATAAGCTGACTAGAAGATGGATCAATCATTGATCAATCAAGAATTTTTAGAACCACTTTTCCCAATATAATATTTATGGGAAAGCAGGACTGAATATGTCTCTGAGAAAACTCAGTAGAGACACAGACCATCAAGCTTATGTGAGATGGGATGCTAAAACCAAGAACAACTTTCACCAAATATATCTAATCAATTTACAGCAAGGTAACCACCTTTTTTGTTTGTATTGTTACAATATTTTCCAGTGAAACACTTATAAAATGCTGCTGCTCTGAAAAAAATTGTGCATTTCAGAAAAACAACCTGAAACTTAAAATACTATTAATCATCATGTATCTTCCATCATGACAAAGTAGGAGAGAAAATAACAGAATATGTACTGTTTATACGGCTGAGAAAATAAATAAACAGAAACTAGTCACCAGCTCATGACAAACAAAACAAACATTTAGATTAAGCATGGCCAGAGAAAAGAGAATTTTCAGCCGAAGCAGGTAAATGTGCAGCATGATTTTTGTTTACATTTGGTTTAAGTAACCAAATACTGAAGCAAAAAATCTGAACTGAAAGAACTTGATTTTTACATAGTTTGTAGAAGAATACTCTCTACAGTGAAGTAATAGAAATTAAACCAAATTAAATGCTAGGATACCAAGTTTAATGTTACACACACACATATAAAAGCTGCAGAACCTTCCCTTATGCCACATATGTTACTTTAATTATGTAAGAAGAAAATGTGCTCAGAAAAAGGAACAGAAAGGAATAAAGACATGAAAAAAGGTTTTTATTAGAAATGAAAGTATTTTTTTCATAAGAATCAGGATATTCTCTTTGGAAATTAAAATAAAAGGAGTAGGGTAAACGCATAGGTAATTTTTTACTGTAATACAAGTATTTGGTTCCATAGCAAGATCAGAAAACATGCACATTTGATGTTGCCAAAAGAATTTTTCACATAATGCAGATCAATTTGCACACTTAAGTAACACAAGACACTACAGGCTGAAGAGATTGAAAACAAAGGACTGGAAGAACTGCCAAATAGGTTTTTTTTCTAAAAAAGATGGATACTTATGCATTCATCAAAATTATTTTCTTGCACTATTTATTATTTGTTATCCAATTCACAAACATGATGTCATGGAATGAAAATTATGCTTCACAGTTTCCTTTGGATCACAATCCTAATAAACGTTGGGGTTTTTTTCCATAAAAGCTGCCCTTTCTTTTACGTCTGTATACAAACATCTCATCAGGATGTGAATTCCTTTAATTTGCTTCAATTTAAGTTGTCCAAAATTCAAGACACCCACACCTACAAATAAACCAACCCATGGAAATGCTGGAATTCAAGTCTGTAGAATAATGCCGTACTATAAAATACTTTCTGTACGTAAATATTACAGCAGTCCCTATTAACTGATGCATTCAATGCCTGGGATTACGCCCTTCTCAAACTGATGTTACAGCTGTGGTACAGCAGAGTACAGGCCATTCTTTTCCTGACTTATTTTTACAGCTGCATTACTTTCAATAGAAAGAGATTATCTGAGTGAAAATAAATAAGGGTTTTTTGCTTCTTCAACTTCCTTATTCTTACTATTCACTCCAGGACAATCCTGCAGAGATTATGTACACACAAACTATTTCTTCCAAAGACAATAGAACAATGCTTATTTATTTCTTTCTTTAGTTAGTTAATTATAATTCTTTGAGCAGAAGTTCTTAATTTTCTTTATTATAGGTATTACATTACTATGACTGCAATTGCCTCCATGGTTGTTGCTACCTGGCATGCAATAATATTAGTATTATTAAATTCCTGCATTCTGATTTTGTTTGTATCTTGATTTGGGGGGTTTGGGCTCTTTTTTTGGGGGGAGGGGAGGGAGCGGGTGGGTTGGTGGTGTTTGGTTTTTTGTTTGGTTAGTTTTGGGTTGATTGTAATGAAAGTTTCTTTACCTACAGGTTTATTTATTCATTTACATCACTTTGTGGCTAAGATTAAAGTTTTCTTGGCACATACTTTATAATGCAAGAAAATCACAAATCCAAGTTTTTACTCTTCTGAGAAAACAGTACATATTAATTCCTGAATCTTTTCCATTTATTACCTTGTAAGAAACAATTCTCATTGCTGTGTTACAAAGGGTGTGGAAACAAATGGCTTAACTTTGCTAAATCATAAATCAAATTCGTTACCATATTCAGTAACCTTTGTGGGTCTCTTCCAACTCTAGATATTATACAATGGGCTATTTAGCCCTAAACTCATATAAAACTAATATTTTCATTTACAGTACTGTCTAGACATTGTTTTTTATTTTTAAGCTGTATCACTTTATAGTATATTAATATATTTTTTAAATGTCCGAAGTCAAACAATAAAATCCAAAAGAATTTCTCACATATATTTTAAAAAAATACTTCTTCAAATTCTATTATTCTACCTTATTAAAAGAGACACTCTGTTCCAGTGGATTAAGTGTGTTAGCAGCAGCAGCTGCAGCTGTGAGCTGTGCTGTAAGGGCCTGTAACTGGACAACGAGACCGGCATCCAGAGCTTGAAGTAGCGAAGGCTGAGGTTTCTGCTGCTGTATCTGCAGTGTCTGTATCAACTGCTGAAGCTAAAAGAGAAAAGATAACAAATACATTGAAGAAGACTTTTTAAAGCAAGAAAACGAAGTACAAAATAGACTCTTCCCCTTCCACTTAGTAAAAAAAAAAAACTCCCAGGAATGAAGAATCATCTAACCTATGGCTATTATTTTGTCTTTAATTTGTTTTCATTTACAGCAAATTTTGTTCCCACTTACTGGCTAATTTGTTTTCTGGGGCTGATAAGATAGGCAGATGCTTCTTCTTCCTAACTTGCTCTGACAGGTTGCATGATGATGCCAGTCACCACTCAGGATTTCCTGCTTTCTAGTCTCCCCCTCTTCTGTTTCTCCAGTTTGATTCCTTTTGACCTGAAAAAAATCTGTTAGCCTATTCCAGCTTCCTAAGGGCCCACCTATATTAGGATATTCTGTGCCCTGCAACAGCATATGTACAGAGAAAAGAACTGCACTGTAGCAAGCTCCACTTACAGCAATGCAACCAGTTCACAAGGAGAGCTTGCACCCCTGTCTCTGCACAAGTCACAAGTGAAATCTCATGGTGAAACTCAGTGTGGGTCGACAGAATGCAATTCTCCTGCTATGTTAACAAATGTTAAAAACATCAAAAGCAAATGTACAAACCAATCACTTGGTCTATCTCAATTTCCTTACTTCAAATTCCTATCTGTATATAATCTTTTAGAGAAGCTGTCCTAATGAGGAAATAAAACGCTTTCTCATGTGGAGATTTATCTGTTGAACAGGGATGCTCCCACAAAATTGTGCAGATTTGCCTTAAGAAAAAATATTAATCCTATTGAAAGATGCTCTCCTAAACCACTGTGGAATTAGAGGAAGTTCTCTGACATTCCTCAAGATAAATCTCTAGAGTCTTATCATCAGATATTTGTGTAAAAAAGGTTGAGCAAATTAGGTAGTTCAAACTTGCTGACCTAAGTTCCCCGATTAACCTTACCTTCAATATTCCAACCCCTTATAAGTTTCCCCACTAAACTCTTAAAAGATTCAATCCCTCCCTTCTTACTAGTCTCACTAGAAACTTCATAAACTGATTAGGTTGAATTTCTTTTCCATGATGCATCAAAAATGTGAAACCCTTTTTAAAGATAGTTTTAGAGTTACTTTCCGATAATGTGAAACCATTTGCCCTATTCTTTTAAAAACAGTTATATAGGTTTCTTATACAGCAGAGCCTCTGAAAAGGCTTCAATTGTTGTTCTACTGCAGCAAGAGCTTTCCCTGATTACTGCAATAGGAAAAGCTGAAGAGTTCCCCCCTCACCCCGCTTTTTGTCTGATACTGCTGGTCCAGCCTGTGCATTGCTCTCAGTAGGAAGGAATCAAACTGAAGAGGCAGAGATGAAGGCCCTAGAGTGGAAAAATCCTGGGTGGGCACCATTCTTGCTGTTTTCACATTCTTGTTAGTCACATCTTTCTTAGTCAGCCCTCTCTTATGTCTAGACTCTCAATTTACCTGCACGCATTCTCACCTATAAAACACAACTGTAGGATTAAATTAAGGTCTTTGGAGCTGGGGAGCCGGGGAGAGGCTGTAGCAGAAGGACTGGTTTGGAGAACAAGAAGAAAAGAGACAGACAGGACGTAAGCAAATATCATAGCTCCTCTACCAATCCTAGACATCTGCATGTACATATTTATTGTGTACCCAGTCTGTCTCTTCTCTTCTGCTTAAGACTATTTTGAGCTAAATATCCAAATGTTATTTCTTTGTGATCTGCTGTCTTTAAAATTCTAATTCCCTTCTCATTTTCATTTTTTTCTCTCGCTTTTCTTTTTCTATATTCTCTAAGCAACAATCTTTAACATTACCTCACTGACTTTCCACATATTTACCACTCTCATTTCATATCCTTTCCTTTTTTAAAAGCTAGTCCACTATTTTTCCTTCACATTTCTCAAAGTATCCCACAAACTCATTTTGCTTTGCTTTTTGTGACTTTGTTTCTTCCAGTGTAATCAGATAAAAATATTCCCTCCACTTGACTTCTGAACAATTACAGACAACTCTAGCTAGCTAAATACTGTAAAACATTCTCACTAAGTAAAGTTGCCAGAACCACAGCTTTAACTGGCCACTGCTTCTTATTCATATGCGTGAGATTTTTGTTTAGTATGCCAGCAGGTAAAACAACCTCAGTCCAAATAAAAATCATAATGCCGAAGTTATGCAGGTGCAATAGCTCTAGCACAGCCTGAAAAATGATCTACATTTTTACAGAAAGCCAATTGTGTGTGCTTAACTTATGTAACCATAGGTTATTAGGATAAGCAGTTTTTGTGATGCTGGACATCAAGACATTTTTGGAGTTGAGCATTTAAAGATTGAAGAACACAGTAACTTCCAAAATCTTATTTTTGAATGCTGTAATGGAAAGATAAAAAATGATGGAAAGATAAAAAATGGAATCAATACACAGTACATTGCTGAAGAAGTTTGTTCCCATTCTGTAATTCTGTACAATGTTTAGCTCTTCTTCAGGCATCCAACAGAGACATATGCTTTAACTGGCATTCTAATTCTTATCTATATCCATGAAATCTTATTGTTGCTCTTGATTTAGTAATCTGCAATAGATCTGTACTTATCATCAATACAGACAAGTATGTATTACAGACCATCTTATCTGAAATCACCTTCTGAGACACTTTAGGTCTTCAAAGGTGCTGGCTTTAAACAGGGCTGGCTCCAAAAGGTAACATGCAGTTTTAATTGACCTGGAACTCACTTGTGATGAACAACCTCATGGGGAAGTTAACATGGATACTAGACATAAATATAAGAGTTACACATGAAAGCGTTCCTTACCTGTATCTTAAAGACACAAAGTATCAGACAGTCTACAGTGTCTACAGTGTAACTGTCTACAAAATTACCTGTTGGCCTTGAGGACTCTGTAAAATCTGTGCAACAGCAGCAAGGGTGTCTGTGTTAGCAATCTGAGATACCCAAGGATCAGGCAAACTCTGCGCCACATTGGCTGGGGTAACTGGAGTTACAGGCGTACCTAAAAAAGAGAAAAATCAATATGCAAAAATGTCTTACACAGAAAATAAAAATAGCGTTAGAGAAGAAAAAAACCTGCTGTTATTAAACACTGAGAAAGCACATCCATTGAAACTATTTTTCTGACATACACGACAGCACACCGAAATAATACAGACTCGCATCAACATTTCTCAAGTAGCAAAATTACTTAGTGTTAGTTTGGACTAGTGGGACTATTAACAAAAACACTGATGAAGGCAAAATAAATAGGTTTCACACAGTATTCCAAAATATTCAGTGGAAACTACATATATCAAAAGGTAATTGTTAGCAATCTACTTGTCAGCTAGTCCAAATCTCACTGGACTTGCACTTTATCCCCAGGAAGAGTCTTAAAGATTCTACTAAAAATTTCAACCTGCTGGATTCATGAGGATTGCTTGTTTTACCGTTTTTTTCTCAAGAGAAACGCTGGACTAAATCAGCACTCTGATAGTTTGTTTCATGCCATAATCCAGAAGAATCCTCCATACCCACAAATACTTTTGTATTTATAGCTCATTAGTAGAGGTACACCAATGAACGCTAAATATGACTAGATTACTGTTTTAAAAGTCAATTTGCATCAGAATTTATGACTTGTGAATCCAACAATTTAATGTAGTTGTAGTATATAAAAATAAAAAATACTGACCCGGAAGATGCAGAAAAGGCACTCCAAGATCTGAAAAACTCACATATTTGCTTTGCCAATGAAAGCTAAGGTGAATTTGTCCAGATCATTCCTTTTCAGCATGGGATCAGCAAAAGGTGGGTTACAAAAGCAGGTGCCAAAAGCCATTCCTATCTGGCCAATTTCCCTTATATCCCAGCCTCAAAAGAAAAAACTTTGATGAAGTGAAAAGTTAAAAATCCATTTTTCTGACATCTACCTACATAAGCAAGACAGATGCTCAGAGCACAAAATTATCAAGCCCACTTTTAAAATAATGTTTTCCTGTTTCCCCGATTTGATGGTGTTTGTAATATACTTCTTTCTAGCATTCATCTGAGTGAGATATTTCAGCATGTAACAGGCAACATACCAAAGCTGACAGAAGTGTTTTGATTCAAAGTATGACTTCCATCTGGCTTTGTTTACCTGGCGTATTGTTGCTCATAGCAGCTGTAGTGCTGGGCAAGACAGGGGTCACAACGGGAGGAGGAATTCCTGCTGCCATATCCAAGAGAGGCTGAATAATTTTTTTGTCCAGAACTACAAGAGGATCCTTAACTATAAAAGAGAAGTGATGAATTTTCACTGCATGGAAGATGCAACTTAGAGTTCCCTTAAAGAAATCCCTGAAGGCTTACACTCAGCATTTCGGTATCTGAGCTCTTCTTCTTTAAAGTCTGTATTATAAGCAGTCCTTGTCAAGTCCATCAGAGACTCTAACTTCCCTCATCTCTCCAGAACAGCAACATAAAACTGTTTATGTGGCTCCATATTGACCCACACCTTGCACTTTCTCTGGGCCAGACAAAGGAATCAGTGAGGTGTTTTTGCTGTTACTTTAAATGAAATGTTACTGCATTTCTGTTTGATTTAAAAACAAATTCTACATTTGCTTGTATAAAGATAACTGCTGTGTTTCTCCATAATGCCTTTCAATCAGATCAAACATCAAAATGTTACAAACCAGGTACATATCTTGGTCTCTGATAGCTCATTTTTTTGCTAGGCAATGCATAGGATATCTACTTTCACAACACAAAGATCCTCCTACAGTACTGAATCCATATGCAGCACAGCAGCAGGACTTAGGATTGAAAAGTACATTTTTAAACTGAGGTGAAAAATATTGTAGAAATGAACTTTTGTGGACCCTAAACAGACTAGGTTTTACTCTCTCTTCACATCAAACACCTCTAATGCAATAAATTAATTGCCATGCATTGAAATATCTTAGGCAAATAGTGAAATTGCTTAGCCTACAATAAATTTATTATGTATTTTTTAAACTAGACACAAACTGAATACTTGCAACCATCCTTGTTCCAATCTCTCCTTCAGTACATCAGGGTTTTTCTGTATTAGTATATTTCCCAAAGTAGCAAGCTAAATGAGTTTACAAAACACACTAAAAAAATAGAAGTCAAAAAAATCATGCCTATTTATAAAAAAAAAGCCACAGTAAAACACTGTGTAATTGAAGCAGCACAAGTTAATCACACAGATAACCTAAAACCAGATTGGAAAAATGTCATTTAACTTAAATAACCTGTTCAGCAACACCTCAGAACTCAGTTGCAGAAGAGAAGACAGACATCCTTAGCAAAGTTTATCCAACCAAGCAAAATTTCCAGTTCCTGACACATTTTCCTATAGCGGTCTTAACTACTCTAAAAAGGCAGGAATCCTAAGATAACACAATGACTGAACGTGCCTTTATCACCCTCCATGGATGCCTTGGATTTTCATATCTCTGGTTGAAAATACAGCTGTAGGAATGCATGTAACTATTCTAAACACAATTCCTCCTGTAGCCTCCAGCCTCCCTTACTACTTTACCTAATGACCCTATAACATGAATTTCTGTGAAGACAAAACCCTCAGAATCCTCCACTTTCTGCAGTTATTCAATAAGAAGAAACACTACCTATTTTACAACTAAGGGACAAATATGAAGGAAGTTAAACTGCCTGCACTCTGTTATTTCCAGCCAATCTTTTAGAAACAGAATTTGGTGGCTATGTCAACTACTGTGATCCAAGGGAACAGCTGAACTAGTGAGTCAAACTATATAAGTTAAACCTTTCTTAGCTGCTGTATAATCATAGAATCAAAGGAAAGATGACCTTTTCAAAACTCTAATTAATCTCATTGGAATGAGATTTCCAATCCCTACACTAAGACATGCATCATTAAGAAATACATATACAAGGCAAGTTTATAAGTGGATTCCCTCCAGCAGGTAGAACGTGAGATGAAAATCTTTATTCTTTATAGGTGATACGCTAACAATTGTTTTAACTAGAAAGGTCTGTAAGTGGTTTACCTTGTCATCACCAGGACAACGGTACAAGTTCTGGAAAGTGCTGATGATGTTATTGCTGAATCTTGGTGCAAATACATCCTTTTCTTGTCCAAACTGATGCCGAGACTGTCTCACAATGGAGTCAATGACATACAGACCAGGCACCTTGTACTCTGGTTTGCACTAGAAAGAATGGTAATTTAAAAAGAGCATACATGAAAAATAACCAAAACCATTAATGGCAGAGTAAATACAAACAATCCTCTCTAATTTTTAAGTGGGTCCAAGAATACTGAAATGTTCTCTATTTTATAAATTGTCGTGGAAAATGAAGCTTTCTCAAATAACCTCTAACCTCTAATGTTTAAATTATCACATCTATATGCATTCTGAAGATATGTAAATGGTATAAAATTAATTTCTTACTGCTAAAGAACTGACTTTTAAAAAATCTATCCATTAAAAAAATTAACACACAAACCACATATCCTTTTAAAATGTACAATCTATTTTAACAGTACTGCAAAAAGCATGACCAAATACTTAATAGTAAATTTGGACTAGCTGTAAATGTAACCCAGGATATTTTTGTCCTTCTTTATGATCAAAGTAAACATTAAAGTTAAAATCCGTTTACTTTATTTACATTGTTGTAATTAGGGTGTGGTATATCCTCTTCTGCGGAAGAAAAATATATTTATGGAGATATCTGTTTGGTCGAGAATATAACAATATTTATTTTACAACTCTGGAAAACTTGCATAATTTACAAACAGCATGATACTCATAAGGCATGTCTGCTAAAAATACTAATTAATTATGTAATTTTACTTTCTTAACAACTAATCATAAAATTTTTGTCTTTTAATTGCAAAGTAATTACACCACATTACTGCAACCAGTTTTAAGATAGAATGAAACATGGTCCAAAAGTAAAATGAAGTCATCATGAGTATACATTATGTTATAGATTCACTTAATAAATATTGAGTGTATATCACACAAGGTATTATGGAAAACATGGGAAAGGACACCCTTTTCCTCTCTGGTCCTGTAGACATTCTATGCAACACACTAAGTTAATAATCTTTAATGAAGTGCCAAACAAACACTTCAGAATATTAATTTTACTATGTCCTAGATACAAATGTTCTGTTTTTAAAAGTGTTGATTTGCTAAAACCTGCAACCTTTAGAAAGCCTTTCTTTAGGTTCTAAACATGGTTCAATGTATTTAAGTGTGGCACCCTCTATTTTTCGAATGTGTGTGACATCATTTTAGGAATACATGTGCAATGTTAAGCTTAAATTGGATATAATATACTGTCTCCAGAAAATCACTTCAATGTACTGTAGCTTCTGAAATTTTATTTAAATTATTAAACAAGAGTATTCTGCATACAGAACAGACAGGTATACAAATTTTCACAATATTCAAATTAATAAAGCTCACAGAAATTCAAAAAGAAAACTCAGGACATATATTAGCTGAAGTATTTTAAAACATGGCACATAAAGAAAGCAAAGTATGATAACAATGTAATAATACAGATTATATGGAAAAGGCAATAAAATACACGTAAAAAATTAAATAATAATTAAAACTGGGGCAGTGAACCTGCATATCCCTAATCTCAGATGGAAAAGCCTTTACACACAAATATTTATTTATTTTCTGGGTGAGTAATCAACAATGTAATTTGCTTACTCAAACGCATTAAATCTGGCTCTCCAATGGAATAATCTCACATATATGAAATGTGATCATTTGACCCCTGAAGTGATCTTTTGCCAAAGAACAAAGCAGTCAACCAAAATAACAATAGACCAGTGAGTTTCAGTGTCACAAAATGAAGAATGTCATGGGCAATTACTTTATCTGAAGTTTCAGTAACGTCATGAAATTACAAAAGAAAATACTGGAGCTGTGAAGGATGAAGAGCAAACTATCTGAGATGGCACTGACATCACTCTAGTTAGGTCTAAAACAGATTTTAATACAAGATTCAGTCACCTTGAGCTTTAACTTGAAGTGACTGCTTGTAGAAAACATCCAATTATTCTCCACACATACAATTTAAGCCCTTTAATATCAAATACCTAGCTTTCATCTGCTTATCTGTCATTCTATTAAAGCAAAAAGTTATTTAAAGTTATTAAGTTGCACATTTCACTAAATTGTTCATGAAATAATTAAAAACCCCTCAGCAAGACCACCAAAGGAAATCATCTAATCCAGGGCAACCATTAACAAGGTTACCAATAAAAACATAAATCTGCTTTCTCTAACCAGCAATGAACAGTGCAGAACTTCCTCACTGAGCAGTACTGAACAACGAAGGCATGTTAAGATAACTCAAAGCAGCTGGTGGAAGGGTCAAGAACATCCAGTCCCAATCCTGACAAATTGCTATTCATTCATGCAGAGAGTAAAACTTCTCTTGTGCCTATGAATACTGAACTGCCAGTCACACCCGCTGTAACTGAAAAGCACTGTTTGGAACTCAGACCATTCTGAGCTAATTTCAGGACCTGGAACTGCAAAGTGATACTGATCAGAGATAGATTACATGTATTCCTGCTCTCCTACTGCTGTGTTCAGCTGCAGCATTGAACAGGTATCAGAGGATAGTGATCCCTGTCTCAGAAAGGGAAGAAGTCAGAGTCAAGGACCCAAAAAACAACTACTTGACAAAAAGCTAGCAGTGTTGACACGGTATACTACTGGTCTTTACTACTGCTTTGAAACACACATATGACACTTTTTTCACATAGGACTGATGTACTAGTACCTAAATATTTCACTGATAAATAGTTCTGAGACAGATAAAAACACCAGGCTGAAGCTGAAACCTGTTTACACTGTCCAGTCACTGTCAAAAGGCACTGCAGAGTTCACTGGGCAACAAGGAATAAAAGTTCATGAGCAAGACAGGTTACTAATACAGAACAATCCAGACTGCTTTGTAAAAACAGTAGCAGAAGGAAAATTGCATCCAACATTGCAACATTAACAGCCTAACTTCTCTAGCTTGTTTGTCAAAACTAAATTTCAATTTGATCATAATTTATTGCTATTTACAAAGAGAGAAGAAATTCAGTATCAAAATGACCAACTGAACAATCAGGTACAACACATAAGCAGGGAAGACTCACAAATTTGAATCCATGCATTTCCAACTGGAAGCAAAATGCAGTTTTACCCAAGAATAATTAACTGTTGCAAGAAAAGAAAGTGCTATAAATTTCTTTGCTAGAAAGAATCTTAAAATTAATACTACCATCTTCCCAAAAAGTAATTCTAGTCTAGCCATATATAATTTACTTGCAAGAACCACCAACTGAAATGCTATATCTCCTGCTACAAAAAAGATTGATGCTGAAGGTCATCTTCCCTTCAGCTTTAAAATCAATGGGAAAACCTGGCAGAAAAGCAAAAGCAACTGTCACCAGCCAAACAACTGTCAATTTTTGCTGTTTTGCTGTTAACTGTTTTGCTGTTAGCTGTTCACTGACAGTCATTTTAGCATTAAATAAATACACAAAGAAGCAGTCCTAAAACAGTATCCACAGTGATTCAGATCAAAGAACAAAATGAGAACAAAGTATTTGTCGTTCTGCATCATGGGTTATGATCTGCTGCCGATTATTAGCAGAAACTGAATGTGATTAAAAATGGAGATAAACTAATATGTGCTAAAAATATTAATACATATGTGAACCTAAACTCCCACTTAAGTGACTTACCTTTTGAATGAATTTCTCAACACTCTGTACAACATGCTTGTAGAACTGAAAAATATAATAGCATTTCAATAGAGAAAATATGAAGATGCATATACTTGTTCAAGTATGTTGCTATATTGATAGCAAAACTAGAAGCAGAAACGTTGGATTATTAAATAGCAATCCAGTATCTACAGCTGAGCATGCAATCTTCCTTAAAACACTTGATAGCATATAAAAGAGCTAATATTAGTGTTTCTTCTTTTTCTTAAAGGTTTTTTACACTGGATTTTTTGAATAACATGCTTCTTTATTGAGAACTAGGAGAATAATATAATTGTTCCACCAAAACACATGGTTAGTTTACTGTACACGACTGAATATCTTCACCTAATGTTACTAAACATACAACTTCTCCGCATTTCATTAATTAATAGCATTGACTGCATACTTTTTCTTTAAAGTTGGCCTGTCTTTCATGGAGTTGTTTTTTTAAATCTCACATATAATCACAATGGCTCTATATCATGTCAATAATTGAAATAACCACTTTGCACAATTAAATGTTGTCATTGAAATGGTAAGAGTGGAAGTAGGATCTCCAAGTTGAGTACATAATAAAACATTTGGGTATAATTTAATTGCTTAATTAATAGAACCATCTATTGTGATTTACTACTTAAGTTCTATACAAGTTTTCAGCATTTCCATTATATTGCAACACACAGGCTTTAACTTACACAGACACACTTAAGAAAGCCACTGAATTTCACTCTTCAGTCATCAAATTACTCTTTCCAAATTACACAAAACACCAATAAAGACTTCATTATCTGAAAACATATCTTCATTGTCAGCAAAAGAATGTAGATAGGAAAAGCATATGTTTGGTCTGGCCTCTTTTCTACCTCTCCAGCTCTCACTGAGTTTCCATTTGTTTTAATGCTTAACACTAGTGGCATACTTCTTTCCTTCACCATTTTTCAGTGACTTTTTCTGCTGTGCCATTGTTTAGCAATTAGTTTTACTTTGTAGCAGGAATAATCTTTAATAAGTGCACTAAGACTTGAACTTAATTTGTATCCAAGCAACAAGAAAACTGAAATCTATGAACAATATCCATGAAAAGGTATGCTAGGAATTCAGAAAAATGAACAGCTGTATTGATCCAAAGGCATGCATAAATTTTGGGGAGGGAGGAAGAGAGAGAGGGGAGAAGGAAGGATGAATTGTAATTTTCTATTTATTCACCCGTTAACAGGCATGTCAGTGTTTCCTTTGTAAACTGAGGCAAAAACCCTGTCTTTCAGATCTGATGGAATTCAGATGGAGAAAAATTGGTAGAATTCTTTCTCACATATGACAACCAGCAAATGAAAGTCACACACCACTTTTAGCCTTCTGCTGCATTAACAGATATCACATATGATCATAACTTAGAAGTTGTAAGCACAAGGGAGGTGGGAAGTTCTGAAGCCAATTTTTAGACTATTTCACAAAATTATTTTCACACACATGAGAAATGTAAAAGAGATCAAAAGAAGTTAACTGGTTTCATACCTTTATAGCCTTGATTGCTGCCTTGGTGATCTGTGTCATTTTAGCTTTAGAAATGGGTGGCTTATAATCATTTAGCGAGTACAACTGCAAGAAAAAAAACACTATCAGAAATATAATCTGCAGTTGTAAGCAGAATACATTATTTTTCCACAAGAAAATAGCATTTCTAATTTTCAGTGGATTTTATGTATTAAGCAAGAAAAGACATTCCCATTAAAGAAAGAAAAAAACCAGCTCAATAACATGTAATGTAAGATTCAAAATGTTTAAAGGAGAGCAGGTTCTTGTTTGCAATGGTCCTTATACATCCATCTAACTTTACCAGCACTAAATACTGGAAGCATTTCAGATGAAGTTACAAAATAAATACTTAAAACATGCAAATACGGTAGCTCTTATTAAGTTTTCCAGGGCAAAGACACTGATATACTTGAATACCTTTATGGAAGTGTAACAAAACCTTAACTTAGTATATTCATCATCATATGCCTGCTGAATCTGGTCTTTTCATTTTCCATTAAACAAACAAACAACAACAATAACAAAATCAAGCCCAGTGAGCATGAGCATGTAGCAATCTGACACTTAAAACAAAAAACAGACTGTGAAAACAATTCATTCACTGCATTAACCCAGGAAAGTAATATATTGAAAGTATTACAAATGCTTAAGCAAAAATCCAGCTGTGTTCTCAATTTCAAGCAGAGCATCTTGATTCACTAATATCTAACCAGCAAAACAACCAGAGCACACAGGTAGTGTAGTTCTGCAACAATGTTCTCCCTGGATGCAGTATTAACTCTGTTCATTTGACTGGTACAGAAATCTCCCAGCAGAAACAATCCAGCATGACAGGTATTCATCAGAAATTTGCTGCACAGTGAAACTTTACAACAAACTAAATTCACAGCTATGACTGATGGGCTGTAATTAGAAGTAACTCCTCCCCAAAACCATTTACTTGCTGTGAAAATCTCAGATTATCCACAATATGTGATTTTGAACAAAATTTCTCCTTCAGGTCTAAGTGTTATAAGAGAAGGGACTGGCTGATATTTGCTACTTTCAGACATAAAAAGACCAGACACAAAGTGCCAAACCTGATTTAAGGACATTCTTAACTTTTATTTTTGTTTACAACACATGTTTAGAAGCATGTTAGTTCAAAAATGGAGTTCCGATAATAGGAATGATCATCTATAACCAAATTTTTATTTCCTTCCTAGAAAACAGGAAGAATTGCAGTTCTTCCATAAAACAGTAATTGAAAAAGAAACAAAACCAAAAAACCCTCTCTTCTCCTATATAGCCTGAGAAATGCAATATAATGAGCCAGATTAATATCCATACAGATATTTACAGTATCTTTAACTTCCTAATATGTTCTCAATTTTGGCAAACTGCTAGCCCAGAAAACATAGTTCAAAATTGTTTATATTTAAGAAAGCAAACTGTAAGACTGAACAGGATCACATAGTGGAAAGGATTGGACAATCTTAAATTTAGGTCATGCTCCCCAAGTTTCTTATAATAATTTATCGCTGATGGTAATAAGTAGAAATTCTTTCATCTTATTTGAGTTTCCAAGAGGCAAGGATTTGGTCTTGTTGCAAACATGAGATTTTCTTTTTCTACCCTTTCCCGTCAAAATCAGTTTTAACCAAAACCTCCTATAGCTGTCAAAACACCAAGTGAAAAAAAAAGGCTTGTCCAAGCATAAGTGTCTGTCTTCTCAGCTTGATAGGATCTCCATTAAAACTGTGAAATTATAACCACTTCACAGCTAGACATCCACTTTTAAAACTGTTACTACTTCTCACTAATGCCAATGCTAATTGCTGTTGCAAAATATTCTGAATTATTTACATGCTGCTCACATGACAAAAAGCAATACATTTCTAAAATGCAGGTATATGAATGCCCTTCACCACCACCTTCACAGGGAAAAGAGAGAAGAAAGGCAAAAACCCAAGTCGCCAATCAGTTTCTTCTGTTTTCACAAAATCACAAGGTTGGAAGAGACAAGAGTGCTCCTGTCCAAGCTGTGGGCTGCCAGCTTTTCCAAGTGTGTGCTGTGGGAGACAGTGAGTTTTTGCAGCTCACTGTTCAGCTTCCAGTTACTCACAGGTAATTACCAAAATGTAATCACTCATCCTGGCTACGGTTTGGCTGGATGTTGTGCAACTACAGCTAAACTACTTCTGAGAACACAACAGCACCAGAAACTTTTTTTTGTATACTGTTTCTTAGCAGAGTCATTTTGGGTGTTCCTGGTCATTCTCCAGCCCTAAAGCCCTAAACACTAATCAGTAAAAGCAATTTACAAGTACATGAGCAAATGTGAAATCAGCCTAGATTCAAGAAGCCAACCTTGTCAATCTAAAACCAGCCCCAGAGGAGACTGGCACCGGAGCTCCTTTACCTACAACACACACAGCTGTAAGGACAGAGAACTGCTGATTCACACAGAAACTCACAGGGACCACACCTGACCAGGCCATCAGCTTCAAAATAATCTGGGCCCTAATGGGGCAGTTCAAAGTACCAAGGAAGCCACTACATGGTGCTGGGAAACAAGCAAGAGTTGCACACAACTGACTCTGAGACATCGGCTGCACACAGTCAGGTATCTTAGCACCACTCATCAGGAACATGCCAAAAGCCAACAGGACACCTTGGGTTAAAGACACATGTAATATTTTTAAAAATTGTGCTTATATCCTAACTTAATTTTTCCTGTGTGCCCTTTTCTACAGATGTTTAGCTAAACCAGTTTGCTCTCTAAGACCAGTGTCTTAGTTTTGTAAGACACTCAAACTCATTTGTAGAAGGTAACTGCTTGCCCTCACATAAAATAAGTCTTTAAATAAACCAGGAACAAAAAAAAAGGCAATATGGTTAAATAGAAAAGTCAAGGAAATTATCTGAAATAAAATTATACACTTGAGAAAATCAGTAGTAATATTCAAAAGGATGGGGAGGAGTGGCAGTGATCACTCAGGCTGGCAATGTATGTGCAAAAGATAGTGCAATCAAGTTTGAGAAACAAACAGGAAAAAGCATGAAAATCAGTGCCTTTCAGAAGAAAGAAGGAATTGCAAATCTACTAAAGTGCTTGTCCTGGACAATCAGCACTTACAGGAGGACTCATAGGAGATAGACCTACAGAAAAAGACACACATATACACACACCCCACTCCCTTTTTTTTTTAATCTACACATATAAGGAAAAACCGATCCCACACCAGAATACTCCTGAACTGTGTTTACAATGATGTAAATTACAAGCTCACAACATTTCACAACAATGTGAAAAATAACAAAGTATTAGAACAGAACTACAGAATGCAAGACTTGGTAGCTATGATTCATGAACTCTCCTTTAAAACAGTCTCAAACTTATAGCTCTGAAAGACAGGAAAAGCAACACAAATTTCTGACAGGGGTTCAAGGGGAGAATTAGGAAACAATGGATCAGTTAGGTTAAATGTTTGTACCAGAAAAAATTGCATAAATTACTTCAAATAAATGTATTACTGGGGACACATATAATTCCATGCAGCTGTTGTAAGGAAAGGCAACATCTCAGTATATTGCTCTTCTCTGAAAGACTCCAGGGGCACAGTGAGAAATCACTGATATAAAACTAACTGGACCACCAAAACACATTTACCAAAGATCTCTCACAAAAGGCTCCCAAGAAACTAAGCTGTCCTAAACAGGTCCTTGCATGACAACCCAAACAAGGACTCCTTAAATACAGCCAGCAAACAATCCGAATGAACAGTCAATTGGTGCACGGTAAAGGGAAGTCCCAACGGAACCCACTCGTGCCTGCTGTCACCTATACTCTGATTAGGACAAAGTCAGACTGTCAAAAGTTGAAGAGGAACATTGGTGACACAACTAAGTAATAAGTACACAGGAAGCAGTGGACACTGGCTTTGAAGCTAGCTGTTGCCATTCAGCCAAGAGATCTGCTGATCCATGAGAGATTGCATTGAAGATATCAACTCAAGAGTAAACGAAAAAAATCTCAGTAACAAACGCAGTAAATGGACATTTAGATCTACATTATTTGGGCAACAATACTAACCTAGAGGGCACTCTCAACTGTACAATCTCCAAGGCTGGCGTGAAGTCATCAGGGATAACTAAAACTGTGGAGAAGCTTTCAAGTGAAGAACAAAGGTTCTTCAGCTGACGAACAGGATTACTAAGGAGAGGCGTATGTCAATACAACCTCAGTACTGAAGATCAACTGGGAAGTATATTCCTCATCCAAGGAGAATACCACATGAGATAAGCAGGGAGTGAGCAAGAGTCAGGTTGCTGGATGTGGTCTCAAACTGCCCAGTGTGGTTACCCTTAGCCTGTAAGGGCAGCTCTAGCATGCCTCAGAGGGAATTGGCTCAGAACCTAAACTGTCACCATGAACTCGCTAAGTCTGTGCCCCGATACCATAATGAAACCCACCCACTCTTTTAAATGACTGTATAAATTACAGTCAGCTATCTGTATGGTAGTATAAAATATAGCTCTCTATTTAAAAGGTCTTATTCAAATGAAGTTTGAGCCTCATCGCATCAAACAGCTGCATTTTTTTCACAGTAGAAATACAATTAATTTCAGAGGGTCGAAAGTGAAACACTGTAATCTTCAAGTACCAGGTAAAACCGTAAGTTTCAGATGTTTTGAAACAGATTAGTTCACATTTACAAGCTGAATGAACAAAGAAAGGGAGCAGACAGAAACCCGTATGTAAACTTAAAAAATAACACTTTAGAGCTGTACTACCATATGATTATGAAAAAAAAAATCTTCTATTTACTAGCCACTTACTGCTTTTCTGGATACACATCAACTCATATGAAACATTTGCTCAAAGGCAAAATCTGATCAGTGCCTTTAGATGTCTGATTACTACTAAGATATTTGAATACTGACTAAAACTGTTTTTCTAGTTATCTTCCTAAATTTCATGTTGCAGATTTGCAGAGCTAAAGTATTTGCACCATTTCTTATATGAAAACCCAGTAAGTACAGACATTTGCAGTTGAAATCTGAGGCATTGCTGTGGAAAT